TATGTCTTTTTTGGTTCTAGAATTCCACAGTGGAAACAGAATATGAAAACTTTTACTCAGACACTTGTTAAATCTTCAAATGCTTAATCTCAACATTTTCAAATGCTCAAATGTCTGATTTTATAGTAAAGACTAGAGAAGTCTGTGATTGCTTTGTATATATCTACTTACTGGTGTAATGTATAGGTTTGGGGAAAACTAAGGTTGACCTTTATCTTCTCTGGTTCTTTTAAAGAAGTCAGCATTTAAAAAAATATTTTTATTGATTCAAAGAGGAAGGGAAAGGGAGAGAGAGAGAAACATCAATAATGAGAGAGAATCACTGACCCATTGGGAACTGAGCCCGCAACCCAGGTATGTGCCCTTGACCAGAATCAAATCCAGGACCCTTCAGTTCACAAGCCGATGCTCTACCCACTGAGAAAAATTGGCCAGGGCAAAAAGAAAAAAAAAAAAAAGAAAGAAAGAAAAAAAAAAAAAGCCAGCATTTTGATATCCTTTCTATTTCTGCTTTTTAAAGATTTTCATGGCAGACATGATGAGGCAGAAGCTGAACTGAAGCAGAGAACTGAAGAATGTGTGCTACCTGTAGAGACCATTGAAACACTTCCTGCGGCTGGAAGACAGCAACCCCCTGTCAGAAGCATTATTTTATCTGGAATTTCAAGTTTATAGAGGATTTGCTTTCCAAAAATTGGGCAAACCTATAGGTAAGACTGCCTATCCATTTTACTTAGACTTTTAGATTGCTTTAGATTGAAATTATCTATTTCCAGAGGAAGGAGCCAGTCAGAGATTTCAGTATTCATTTAGGCAGCCAGGATTAGCTGGACTGCTTGGCATGCCTAAGACAGTTACTTAAAGGGGGGAAGCACATTTCTATCAGAATATAATAGCAGAGACACTCATAAGGAAAACCATGCAGTAAGTAAATTTTTTTTATTTTTTCATTATAAAATAACTATATCATAGCAAAATAAAATACAACAGAAGTATAAAAAATAAAATTTTGTACCCATTCAATTTCATTCTCCCAAAGTAAACATTGTTAAGATGACTCCAGATGTATCTTTTTAGGGTTTTTTTATTTTTAACTTATAAGTGACATATATGATGACTGTTTGAAGTGTTCTGTATAACATTCTAACCTGGGGTTCTATCATGCCTGACAGGTTATAAATAATATCATGTGTTAAATTTGACTAGCTTCTGTCTGAATGTACCCCTTCCTTGACCTTGTCCCCTACATAGTAATGATATAATCAGAAACCAAATCAAACAACTAATAGGTCTGGCAGAAAAAGAATGTAACCTTGTACCTGATACAAGAACTGCCATGAAATAATGTGGTTGGACTGGTTTGTAGTTCTTTCTACATAATATGCCAAAACAAAAAATACAAAGCTATCTCAGAGCAAGAAGAAACTTCTGATAAATTAGGTTTCAGATTAATACAATAATGATAAAGTGGTGATAGTATACTTTTTTAATGTAAGTTAGAGCAGTGATGTCCAACTTTTCTGACATCATAGCACACATATAAAATGATATTGTTTAGCCTGATGAAAGGATCATACCTGATTCATAGCACACCATTAAGGTTTCTAAATAAAAGCATTCTTGTTGATGTCTGGCTAACTCTGGCTACCCTCTTCTGCTTTTCAGCATTAAGGTTTAAATATAGTGTAATAGTTTAAAGTTTGAATTCTAAGCCAAACTATCTAGATTTAAATCCTAGCTCTGCCACTACTAGCTATGTGACCCCAGACAAATTACTTCATCTCTTTGTATCTCAGTTTCTTCAGCTGTGAAATGTGCAAATATGATACTTACCTCATAGAGTTGTGAAGATTACCTAAGTTCATACCTGTAAAATGTGGTATTTATAAATTGCTTAGAACATTACCTGGCATATGGTAAGCACCATATAAACATGTGTGTACTAGAACTACTTGTAGTGGTAATGTTTACTTTACTTGCTGTTATACTGCTTCAGAGAAGTAAATGTTATGGGCTCAGTCTGCCCAGGCTCCTCCTGATTGCCTCCTCCTCTGCCTCACATTTCTTAGTCTTGGGCTGTTCCTTAAGAGTGTCCACCCCCCTTACTTTCATTGCCTCAATTTCATTTTCTCAGTTTCCATTTGTTTGGGGGCCTTCAGCCAGCTGATAACTGAGAAAACTGCTGAGTTGATCATTATACTCATCAGCTTGCTCTCACCGCTGTTCCATCTCTAAAGAGCTCTGTGACTGAGGGAAGTAGATATTAAAGAATGTGAATAGGAGTGAATCCTAGACCTTGAAAAGAACTCTAGAATAGTTGGGAGAGGAGCATGAGCTGAGTTAGCCAAACTGTTAGTCAGCAAAGACTCATGTTTGGTGGGAAAAGGATCACCTGATGTCACATACCAGATGTAGGAGCTGGTCAGTTCTCTGTAGACTCTGCCAAAATATGGAGCAGAGCTGGTGACTCTGGGGGCACTGTGATCATAAGACTTCATAGAGAAATGACAGTTCTTTCAGAAGGTAGGCCTTAGGGCTAGCTTGGGGGAGAACACTAGGTTAGTACTTTCATGTCAGGAACACCTGTTGCCTTTGTAGCCCTTCTGGGTGAGACTCTATCTGCTCTGTGAGTTCTCTGGGCCCTCTCCCCATGCAGGAGCCAGGTTGGTTGTTGGATCTGTATCTTTAAAACCTGTTAACCGAGCGGGACCTATAAATACGTCAAACGTAAACAATATCGGGAACGGGTAGGACATATGAATACGTCCTTGAAATATATGTTGCGCCCTGAGAGGGATGATATATAATTTTATAATCTTTATAATTGTTTGTAAAATTTATAATTTTTTAATTCGATGTTTCCATTTTTTTGTTGGTATTCTTTTCTATTTGTTTGTAATTTTGTATTTTCCTTTTGTGCTTTATATATAAATAAATGAAAAAACATATATTTCATTTATTTTAATCAAGTATAAATAAAAAATAATAATAATATGAAATTACGTCCTCCGGGCGTGACGTACTGACACGTCCTAGTGAAAGTGTTCCCACCTGTTACAGGTTGCGTAAGTAAAAAGGGAACTCCCCGGTTAACAGGTTAACAGCTGTTACTATAGGAGTACAATCAATACTTGTAGAGTAACAGATTTTACAAAGAAGAGAGAACTTGCAATACTACTCTTACTTTTTAAAATATATTTTTATTGATTTCAGAGAGGAAAGGGAAGATAGAAACATCAGTGATGAGAGAGAAACATTGATTCGCTGCTTCTTTCACGCCCCCTACTGGGGATGGAACCTGCAACTCAGGCATGTGCCCTGACCCAAATCAAACCCCGGACCCTTTAGTCCATAGGCCAGTGCTCTATCCACTAAGGCAAACAAGCTAGGGCATACACATGTTTTTTGAAGCACATTTATAGAAGTATATCATTGGATTCTCAGAGTTGCTCGAAAAGGTGGGCATTATTTTTAAACTTATTCTGTAGAAGAGGAAACTGAGATTCTAAGAGGTGAAGTAACTTGGTCTTGGTACTATGTCTGGTACTATCTGAATCAGGACTCTCAGTTTGGTCTCCTGATGCCAAGCCCATGTGCCTTCCCTATCAGCAGTGTGCTTTCTTTCCAGCTCCACCTCCACCAATATACAAATGTGAACCAAGATGAAGGCAGGGGCAGGAGGAGGTAGAAGTGCTGGGAGCCTTCACACCAGCTGGTTCAGTCCAAAAACTAAAGAAGTGCTCACTTCCTTCTCTGAAATAACAGACACATTGCCCAATCCTGTATCAAGGGTTAGAAAGTTAAAAACCTTTTGGGTCACAGTGCTCTTTTTGAGAGGAAGTTTATCAGAGAATTCATGAAACTGTTGTCTGAAGCACAAACATGTACTCACAAACATACTTCTTTCAGTATGTGCACTCATACTTAAAGGTCCTGGGTAACATGCCTAACACCTCATATGTGCTTAATTTTATATCATTTTCATTTCAATGCATGTTCTCTGAAGGCTGCTGTATGTCTAACTTAAGGAGATGCAAAGGTGAAGAGGTGGCAGTCCTGGCCTTTAGGAACTTCGGGGAGCTCTCAAGGCCACATAAAATCAGTGCTCTAATAATTTCCAGCAGGGTTTAGGGAGAAGAAAATTAATTTCCAGTTCAGTGCAGTAATCCCATCTATTTGCATATTACCTAACAGAGTTTGCACAGACCTTAATTCATTCAAAGGGATGGAGACCTTTGGGATGGGTTTTAATAGCTGGGAAGAAACCTTAGTCCAAGGGAAGGAAGTGAGCCAAGGACCTGCTTGATTGTGGAATCTTGCCCTCTGAAGAAGCTTTTATCAAATGATTGCATGCATATTAAATAAGGTCCCACAGGCCCTACAGTGTACTGTTGATGATAAAATAGACTATGACAGGCTCCAGAGAGGAAACTATCAACTCCTTGGTAAGATTGTAACACTTCTCCCTTCCCCTTTCCTTTAGTGTAAACAGGGAAGTTAAGCACATTTTTTCACTTCACTGTCTTCCTACCTTTTTTTCTTCTTAGTTTCAAAAACAACTCTCCTTCAACAAGGTCTGTTTCTAAGGAAAGTCTTAACCATTTGTCCCTTCTGGCGTACCCTCTTCCAATGAAATCCATGCAGAATAGTCCAGGTACTCTATCTTTTGTGTGTGAAGCCCTAAAAATCTAATATTGAGTGTGCAGCCATGCTCAGAGGTATGCTTCTTCCACAAGAGGCTCCCTTAGCCCTGCTGTGGTAAGAACCAAGTATAAATTGCAGCTAACAGGGTTTTCTAGCTAGAGTCGTAAGAATGTTTGAGCATCCCCTGTGCATTATAATACCACCAGCCCTCTGGCTCCTCTTCTACATTGCCTGCTTGTTGGCTGTTTTGCTTGTCCTTGGGCCTTCCATCAGAGTGTGGGCGAGGAAGGAGAAAGAGAAGTGAATCTAAAATCTTCCCCATCTGCACTTGGTTTGCAGTGCTGGTGAGAAAATAAATGGGGGCCAGGATTGACATTGGACTGCACACAAGGCAGAGCAAGAGGGACAGTGGTCCCTCCTCAGTCTATTGTCGCAATGGTCAGTGCTCCCTCCCTGAGCTCCTGTAGAATTTCTCACTATGTTGAGCAGCTCTTTTCTTTTTAATATACATTGGTAAGGGTGGATATTTGGGTGCAGATATTTAAGATTAATTTTTTTTAAATTCATAGCTGTTACACAAGAGGAATCTTGTGTTTGAAGCTGTTGGCTAGAGTAATATTTTGAGATTCTCTATGGATTCCTATTATCCCTGTGTTTATCTCTTCTATAAAATATAATTGAAAATCTGTCACCAGATCCTAAAAGTGGGAGGAAGAATGCACCTAAATTGAGCTGTCAGACACTTGGCTGCCTAATGTGCTTTCTGGATTGTGATGTTGAAAAGGGTTGTCGTTCTGTGTGCTTTCTCCTCATGGCTGTCATGTATTCGCCTCTGAGAACAGTGCATAGAAGACGTGCATTAGCTCTCATCAATCTTCCTGAGTCATTTCCCTGATCATGTTCAGGAGGGTCCTCTGAGAAGAGAGTGGGCCTTTTCCCTCAATGGGCAAGAGTTAGCTTCCATTTAAAAATCTCTCTCTCAAAAAAATAAAAAAATCCAACAACCCAGAGCCTATGTTTATTGAAGGTTGGTCTAAAAGGCTCTCACACCATATGCCCCATCAGCACTCGAGTGCCTCTATTTTAGAAGGATGTAAAGGTTTAATCACCCTGGTGGGGATTTAGACCCTGAGACTTCAGAGAAATCTTATTATTTCTAACTGCAGGCAAAGGGTATTAAGGCTCCACTCTGGATCAGGGGCATGACATGTTCTGTAAGTAATTTATCTTTACCAGGGGAAGGCCCTTACTAGAGTGTCTTAGAAACAGTACTACGATTGGGTACTGGCTCATTATTCCTCCTTTTCTCTTTCTCCTTCTCAGTCTCCTGCTTATTCTTTTTGTCCCTACTTTTTCCTGCCCAATGTCAAAATATCTGCCTCCCAAATTTTCCCTTTAACTGGGGGCACCAGGTGTCTGCCAGGGAGAGATAATAATGCTTTTGCAATAAATGACCTCATCCAGCAGCCTGGTGTAGACCTGTCAACTGCACACTTCTGAATGGACCCTACCTGTATCCCCTCAAATAAGGAACAGAGAGGGAAGCGTGTGTTCTGGCTCCATAGGCACTCGCCTGTGCTCGTAGATATCCCTGCCCTATTGTACCTTCACTGAGGCAATCTCCACTGAAGGCCTTTAAATCCCTATGCATATTCACATAGGGATGTTACTAATCGTATGATTTTTTTTGCATGTACCTCTTCCAACCTCACCCTCCTTCCTGTCTTTCTGAAGCTAGAGAATGTCACAGGTGGGATTCTGCTTATGGATTCATTGTTCTGTTTGGGGACTATAGTTTGATTGGTGGCAGATCTAAATCCATGTGCTAATGAGCTTGGTTAAAGCAGGCCTCTGCTATCCTCTTTTAATCTAGCCTGTCTGTCTGAGTTTCTTTCCACAGTTAATGATCTGCTATAATGGTTTTGCCTTTAGTTTTGCCTCCTGGGTCAAAACAAATCAATACTCCTCACAGATATTTAAAAACCATCAGTGTAAAGCTTCTGGGTCTCAGCGCCACCCCCCTCCCCTGGTTTTGTTTTGTTTTTGCTTCTGGGTGAACTTAAAGCTTGATCAGTACAGTGATATTTCCCTCGCATCTCCTCTTTTCTCCCAGAGATGGGCAGCAGTGAACCCCTTCCCATTGCAGAAAGTGACAAGAGGAAGAAGAAGAAGCGGAAAGCCCGGGCTACTGACTCCTTGCTGGGAAAATTTGAAGGTTGGTCATGCAACTCTCTTAGAGCAGGGCCTGTGGCTCCCCAAGCATGGGAGGAGCTTCCCAAAAGCCCGTGGGTCTAGATCACAGGATCTGTGTTATCATAGAGCTAGCTCATGGTTATGTGTATGATAGCGATGAAAGAAGGAGTGCAAGAGTTTACAAGAAAGAGTAACAGAAAGGGAGAGAGCAGAGATGAGAAAAGCCCTTGGATGAGGCACAGGCTTCCTCCGAATGGTCAAGGAACAGGAAGACCAATCGGTCAGAGTTGTACATGCAGTGAGATTGGCTGGTGTGTTTCAGCCCGTTCCAAATGTGATCTTCCCCTCAGCTGTTCCTAGAAGGGCTGCTGAGAGGTAGAACAACCATGTAAGAAGAGGAAGAGAGGGCCATGGCTGCAAATGAAACTTCAATCTTCTGTAAGCAGAGAACTTGACTCCAAGAGATTGCAGCTACTTGTGCTGAGTTTGACACCATTTTAAGAGTGACTGTTGTGCTGAAACCGGTTTGGCTCAGTGGTAGAGCATCAGTCTGCAGACTGAAAGGTCCCGGGTTCGGTTCTGGTCAGGGGCATGTATGTTGGTTGCGGGCACATCCCCAGTAGGGAGTGTGCAAGAGGCAGCTGGTCGATGTTTCTCTCTCATCAACGTTTCTAGCTCTCTAGCTCTCTCCCTTCCTCTCTGTAAAAAATCAATAAAATAAAAAAATAAAAAAAGAGTGACTGTTGTGTTCAAAGGACACAGTGTTGATGATCAAAAATTTTGAATCCTGTGTGAGGCACTAGGCTCAATGCTTTTCCTGTTACCACTGGGCATGTAGTGGGATGGAGTGAATCACTGAACATTTCTTCAAAGAATTGAAAGGATCAGTAGCTACTCCTAGTAGTGACATGCCCCTTCATCTATTCTGTTTCTTTTGTGAAACCTGAAATAGCTTCCTCTCATGGTCCCTCTTTACAGTATTGCAGATACACTAATGAGTTGATTGTTTTGTAGAGTAGTTCTAATGACCAGCCCTTTATGAGTCAGGAATATTAGACTTCCAACCACCAACCTATTCTGACATGTGTAAAAAGCTAATACTAAAGTGTCCATTGTGAGTAAAGCGTGTTATTTAAAATACTTACAAACAGCCGAAGCCGGTTTGGCTCAGTGGTAGAGTGTCGGTCTGCGGACTGAAAGGTCCCAGGTTTGATTCCGGTCAAGGGCATGTACATTGGTTGCGGGCACATCGACGTTTCTAGCTCTCTGTTAAAAATCAATAAAATATATTTTAAAAAATAAAATAAAATACAAACAACAGTGTGTATTCTTTATTTTAATTTTTTATTGCATTTATTGGGGTGACACTGGATAATAAAATTATATAGGTTCAAGTGTACAGCTCTATAATATATAATCTGTATATTGTATTGTGTTCACCATCCAAAGTCAAGTCTGTTTCCTTCAGTATTTATCTCCCCTATACCATCTTATACTTCCCCCCACACCTTTCTCTCTTATAATCACCATACTGTGAGTTTGTTTGTTTTCTGTTTAATACCTTCACCTTTTTCCAGCCCCCTAACGCCCCTCCCCTCTGATAGCTGTCGGTCTGTTTTCTGTATCTATAAGTCTGTTTGTCTTTAACCCAGTCAGTAGATGTGTGTGTGTTTGGCATGATTTTTAGAATAATTTCCAAATCAACAGGTCTTGCTCTTTCAATGAATATGAGTAGTTCCTGTTATTTAAGGATGGCTTGTGCAATTGTAGGGCTTCTCATGACTCAGAGTGATAAAACCTAATTTCATGGTTAAAAAGTATTCTACACAGTCTGTGGGTTTAAGCGTTAGGCTTCCTCAAGAGGAAGAAGCCTAAGAATGGAGGCTCAGGGAGAAGGAGGCCAGCTCAGTAGAGACTATGATGGAGCTGTAGCTTCTTTTGGAAGGGCTCAAAGAGCCTGTGCTATTTGTGAGCTTGGGCAGGCCACCTAAATGTTCTTTCAACCCAAGCCTATTACTCTGTGAGAACCACTCTGACTCAGCACCCTAAAAACCTCAAGGCTTCCGTTTACATTTATGTGTCTCCTGTTTCCTGTGGGTGACTTCTGGAAACTTTTCAAAAACCTCCAATTAGGGTCCTTTTTGTGTGGTATAAAATAAAACAATGATTTATTCCCCTTTGTATCACCAATGCCTAGCACAGAGCTGGGCACATAGTAGATACTCAGCAAATGAGTAAATGAATACATAGTGTCGATTCAAATTCATCCTTCTATGAGGATGCCCCAGATTCTCTGAACAGATAGATATAAACTTTCCCTTCCCTGGCTCCTTTTTACTCTGTCTTGTCCTCTCTCTGATAGTATTTCCCACTGTCTAGTTTATTCTGGGGTCATTTGTGTACATGTCTGCCTCCCCCATTGAACTGTGATTCTTAAAGAGCAGGAACTGTATTTTATTCCTTGCTTTGTCCCTATTATGAATTTAATATGCTGTCTGACACATAGTAGGTACTTGGGAGATTGTGTGTGAATTGAAACCCTTTCACTGACTTCATCTCTAAAATGGGGAACAGGTGTCTTCTACATGATCTGGTTGTTGAGAAACTGAGTTCTGAAATGGCCAGGAAAGCTAATGGTCTTCCTCGTCTCTGTACTATGATGATCACCATGTGCCTGTGTTGTCAGCCCAAGGAAGTTGAGTGACAGAGCTCTTCTTTCCATCTTAACTTGGAAAGGGTGACTCATCTCTCATCCATTTCATCTCTAGATGTGTACAAGCTGACCTCTGAATTGCTTGGAGAGGGAGCCTATGCCAAAGTTCAAGGAGCCGTGAGCCTGCAGAATGGCCAAGAGTATGCTGTCAAAGTGAGTGTCTCATCTGGATGCCAGGCTTTACTTTGAACATAGTCAGTGCTAAACCAAATAAATTTCATATGCCCCAATGTGGTGGCTCAGTAAGATTTGGGGCTACAAAGCTGTATTTGCTGAATTCAAATGTTGGTTTCTCTACTTGCTGTGTACCATTAGGCAAGTTACTAAACCTATCCGTGTTTCAATTTCCTCATCTGTAAAATAGATGTAATTATAGAACCTATATATTATTTTTGTGAGGATTAAATAAGTTAGTATGTGCAAAGGGCTTGAAATAATACCTATCTCATAGTATGAATGCTTCTTATTAATCTGACAAATGAAATTAGCTTCAGGGAGTAAACAGATTTGGAATCAGACAACCACATGAATCTGTTTTAACAAACTACTACTATTTGACCTTGGTAAAGTCACTGAAAATCCTTGAACCTCAGTTTCCACATCTCCAAAATGAAGATAACAATACCTGCTCTTTCTTTCTCATGGATTGGTTATAAATATGAAAATAAAAATGAACTGGTATTAGTAGAAACATTTTACAAATGACAAAATGCTCTACAAATGATGTAGAGCAGTGGTCGGCAAATTCATTAGTGAACAGAGCCAAATATCAACAGTACAACAATTGAAATTTCTTTTGAGAGCCAAATTTTTTAAACTTAAACTTCTTTTAACACCACTTCTTCAAAATAGACTCACTCAGGCCAGGGTATTTTGTGGAAGAGTCACACTTAAGGACCCAAAAAGCTGCATATGGTTCACAAGCCACAGTTTGCAGACCACAGATGTAGAGCATCATGATTATGAGGAAGGAGCACTCAGCTATGGGACAGGAGAGGTGGCTGCTAGCTGTGTGATCTTGGAATGGCTCACTTCACCCCTCTGTGCATTCACTTGCTGACCTCAAATGGAAGAAGAGACGGATTGAGAGCAGTGGTTCTCAAAGACCCTGCATCAGGGTCTTTGTATTTTTAACAAGTTTCCAAGTGATTCTGATATCCACCAAAGTTTGAAAACTACTGATCTAGAAACAAGGTCTTATTGACTCCAAGGAGCAATTCAGACTTATTTCAAATCATCCACCTGAGCCACCAGGCCTAAGTGGTGCCTCATATGGGAAGACTCAGTCAAATTGACTCCTGGAAGACATGTGTTTTTTTTTTTTGTTTGTTTGTTTTGTTTTTAATATATTTTATTGATTTTTTACAGAGAGGAAGGGAAAGGGATAGAGAGCTAGAAACATCAATGAGAGAGAAACATTGACCAGCTGCCTCCTGCACAGCCCCCACCAGGATATGCCCACAACTAAGGTACATGCCCTTGACCGGAATCGAACCTGGGACCTTCCAGTCTGCAGGCCAACACTCTATCCACTGAGCCAAACCAGTTCTGGCAAGATGTGTGTTTTTTAACCAATTGGCCATAGTCCCAGCTGTGGATTTATTAAGGGGAAACTTCTGCTAAGCCATGTTCCTTTTTGTTGCAGTATTGTTTCATATGGTAACAAAAGTACTGCCAATCCTTTTTGGAAACAGATCAGTATAAATTACAAGTAATTAAAAAATAATAATATGCATTAAGGGTGGTAAAAACTGCAAATGTCAATTGATTTTCAAATGTCTGAATATATTTATGGATGACAGACCTATTTCTTCAAAGTTGGCTCATGAGAGGAAAACCAGGCTCTTCCTCCATGTCCTCTGGCATCTTTGGGCAAAGATGGACCCTGGCTTGGCAATTCTCGGATTTCAGCAGTTCTGTCCATGTCTCTCGTGTTTCTTGAAAACTTCCTAGAGATGGGTTGCTTCTCCCCACATGGCTGCACAATGTTTGGTTTTATTAGGGCTTTCTCTTATCAGCATCCAACTGATAAACACTAGAGTCTCAAGGTGGGAATGAAATTTCAAGATAATCTAGTCCTGAATATCCTCTGTAACTCCTCAAATAGCTATACCATGTTCTGCTTCCCCATCTCTAGTAGTAGGAGTACATTTCTTCCTCAGAAAAAAATTATGCCATTGCTAGATAGTTTGCCTGCTCGAAAGTTCTTCCTGACTTTGATCTGAAATATTTGGTGAACGAATTAGCTGAGTAGCTTCTGTGCCCAAGCACTACACCTCTCTGTGCAGAAAACGGGCCCAGAGGTTTGCTAACAGACATGGACTTTTTAGAAAATTGCATTGGTCATGGATGTGTTGCTACAACATATTGGAGAAGTTTGTGGTGTTCTACTCAGCATCCATGGAATGAAGGAACAGGATGTCATCATCAGCTGCCCGCTCATCATGTGGGACTGTGAAGCAGAGCAAGCTCTGCAGAGCAGCAGTTTGGGACTCTGGACGGGTCCGGAGACATGTTCAGAGTCAGCCACTCCCTGTGTAAACTACCTGCTCCTCTGTTGGCTCACGCATCCCTTCAGTCAGTACTTGCCAAGCGTCTCCAAATACAGGTGGGGAGGGGAGCATCCCACAGTATCATAGGAGAGATTAGGCCTCTGGGTTTTCTTGAGAGAAGATGTATAGAATACAGGCAGATATATAGGCTTGTAAGGGCTTCGGAGGCAGCTCTAGGCTTGAATTCCAGCCCTGCCACCTATCAGAGCTGTGGGCACAATGTTTTACCTCTTTCTATCATTTGGGATTTTGTTGTAAGAGTTAAGAGAGTATGTACCTAAATGACTTTTTATCAAAGGTAAGTTCTCAGATGAACTGCAGAGTTGGCATTGACCTGGGCCCTTCATTGCCCCTTGCTCTTCCTCCAGCACTAGGAGATCCTTCATTAAAGTTTATAAATTCTTACCGGAAAAGCAAAAAGAGATATCCTTGGAATAAGAACTGGATAGAGATAGCTCTTTGTCTTGCTGGCTGCCTCAGTCTCCCCTAGGCAGCTGGGGACAGCCCTCAGAGGCTTCTGTGGAGTTGTGCTTGGCCAGAGTCAAACAGCCCAGCCAGGCTGGAAAGCCCTCGGGCCAGTCTGCAGCTTTGCTGGCAAGGCCACAGGGCCTATACCACCAAGTCCTGGAATGACTTGTGCTTGTAACTGACTTGGGCTAAATTTTGGCCGTCTGTTCTGCCAGAGGGGCTCCTGCTGAGTGGTGTTTTGAGTTCATATGTGAGTATTTGACAGATGTTGTTCTTCCCATAGATCATTGAAAAACAAGCAGGGCACAGTCGGAGTAGGGTATTTCGAGAGGTGGAGACGCTGTATCAGTGTCAAGGAAACAAGTGAGTATAGTGTTGGGCTTGTTGCTGCTTCTCTGGGGGGATGTATGACCGCAGAAAAAGGTTCTTTCTTACCACCTCCTGACCTGAGCTTACTCCCTCCCCCACAACTGCATATGGCTCCTTCTGTCTTCCAATGTTTAGAAAAAATAGAGAGAATAAATAACAACAGCCAAGAAGCTATCTCCTGTTTAGGCTGAAATGCCATAAATATCAGCAATTAGGCCCATTAGATGAGTGAGCAATCTGAATTAGTGCCTGGGACAAAAATCGAGTTTTATTTCTTTCAAGTGCCTGTGGAAACTAGGCTGCCTAGTGGAAACTTTTAGGAACCTGCTGTGATTAATGGATGAGGATGATGAGAACTATTAAGAATATTTGCTGCTGTTTTCTGTTCGTATGGTAGTTACATATATGCAGCTAATACTGAGGGTCATGAAACCTGGTCTAACCCTCTGTGCTTGACAGCTGAGCCAAGGTGCTCTCCAACACTGTCCGAGCCTGCTCACCACCAGCCCCAAATGAGTGGTTCTCCCGCTGTGGCTTTAAATCAGGGTCACCTCCAAGACTTCGCTTTCCCCTTTCTTTCTTTCCACGGTAGAGTCAGCAGGGAGCCAGTGGCCTGGTATTGATGGCTTTGTCATTAAGCTTGGAGGATGGGGGCTGCTGTTGATTTAACTCCAGGCACTGCCTCTACAATCTTCTTTCACATTAGGCCATTTTGGCCATCTTATTTGGATGCCTTCACACTAGTAAAAGCCTGGTGTCTCCCAAAGTGGTCAGCATTTTTTTATGAGGGACAGATTTTTTATTTTCAGCCTGCAGCTTCTGAGTTCAGCATTAGAGACTCTACTTGGTTTATTTCGTTTTTTAAAAGGAAAAAAAAAGCCCCAACACCTTCAATATCCAGGCTGGTGGCTTCCCTACTGAGTAACAAGACGACCTTGTTGGCGGAGCACGGTAATGCTCAGGCAGACAGGAGTGCTCACCGGGGAAGGCCACAAGTGCTACGGTGGCCGGGAACACGGTGTTTCATTAAGCAGTGCTTAGCAGTTAGGGTCTAGTGGTGCCTCCGTTAGGCCCCAAGTCTATTTGACAGATGTTTCCATTTTCTCCAGGCAATGTAAATACTGCCCCGTGATTTATGGGCAAGAGGGAGGGCAAGTAATTATTTGCTGCTTGCCTCCAGGACACACACCTACTATTCAGTGTTATTAGCCGCAATTGCTTCCAGTCGGCTGCAGATTTTATTCAGTTTAATGTGACCAGGACTTTTTTATAACTCTACCTAGTGGGTTTTAGGGTTGGGGTTTGACAGCACAGACTTGGTGAAAACACCAGAGACTAAACATTATGGAAAGATAAGGTGACCTGAGCCTTGCTAACACCATTGGCTGCTTCTCAAACACGGGTCTTTAATAAGCATTCTGATTTCAGGTTGATTTCTGCCTGTTACAGGGTGTTGTATATATTTTTTCATTGTATATTTGTAAATGGGCTTTAATATATAATACCATTTTTTCCTTTTCCTCCTATTTTTCCCTACTTAAGGAACATTTTGGAGCTGATTGAATTCTTTGAAGATGACACAAGGTTTTACTTGGTCTTTGAGAAATTGCAAGGAGGTACTTACTGTTGAGTATGTGTTTGGACTTCTGATTAAGACCCACGGTGGTGATCATCCATCATGAATCCCAGAGACTTCTAAAACGAGTCAAGCTAATAAAAAGGATGAAGGACTTAAAACTGCCCTTGATTTGGGAGAAGGGAGGCCGGAGGGAAAGATGATAATTAGCATTTTGCAGAGCCTAGAATGTCACCTGTGTGGGCATTCTATAAATGCCTTCTCATTATAATAGGGCTCATAAATAGATATATGTAGTCATCAATTTATCAATCCATGATTTGACACGTTCACTATTTAACAGAATTAATTGTGGGTGGAAGCTCCTACATACATTGTGAAGTACAGAAAGGCTCACCAGGGGAGAGAAGGGTTCCATTGTTTAGGATACAGACCCAGGATAGAGAAGAGGCCCAAGAATGTGCCAACCTTCAGTTAGAATGATGCTATTTTTGACTATCACCTATACACACATAACCTATACACACAGTCACCGGCATGCATGCTGAAGTTGCTTTTCTGACAAAGAGAAGGAGAAAGAGAAGCGCTTGTCCTCCCCATCACTTACCCAACCTTGGACACATTTGCAAGGTGAAGGTTAGGGAGGGTGTCTGGCACTGAGTGGAGGATTATGTGGAGGGGTTTGATGGTTAAAAGACCGTGCTTTAGAAACCAGCCAAGCTAAGTTTCAGTCTAGCTCCATCACTTACCTTGGGCAAGCCACTTAACCTTCCCAAACAGTATTCTTTCTTCTGTAAAATAGGGATAATGACAGCACCCACCTCCTTGGGATGCTGTGAAGGTTAAATGAGATGATTCATGTGAAATGCTTAGCTCAGCACCTGGTAGGTACTAACGGTTTAATAATTATCAGCAGTTAATTTTATTAAAACAATTGGCTATGATGGGGGCTAGCTGAGAAGTATGTTACACTCCACCTTCCTTTTTAACAAGTTTGGAAACAAGAGACTCACTGCAGCAAGGAAAACATGAGGTCTAGCCAGGAGCTGGTTTTCTTGGAATGTTTCCTAACATGTTAAGATCCCTTGATTGTTTCATCTGGCAAGTGAAAGATCTTTAATCTCATGTCCGTGCCAAAAACAGAATAAGTAAACATGTACCACTTTTAGGACGACACCTTCAGTCCAGAAATACTGGCTTCCAGTAGTGAGCATAAACCACATTGGAGCCAAGCTATATGTATATGCTAGTGCCTGTATCTGCCCCGCCCCACCCAACAGCACTAGGACTTTGAATTACATGATTTAATACTCGATGCCTCCGGGGTCATCTGTACATATCACTCAGAGTGCAACTCTACTGAGACCAGACCCAATGGGGAAAGAGTGTGATTGGCTCAGGGTAGCCCATCTGCCCAGCATTTGGGCCACAGGTCTTCCTGAGGGGAAGTCTGCACAGGTTCTGTGGCCAGACTTACTGGGCTTAAGTCCTGATGCTGCCACTTACTGGTGTATGATCTCGAACAAATTGCTTAACCATTCTTGTGTTTAGGTTTCCTATCTATAAAATGAGGATAACTGTATTTTATATATTTTGTACAGTTGTGGTGAGGCTAAGATAATCTATTTAAAGAGCATTACACAGTGCTTGGCACATAGCAACTGCTCAATAAGTATTAGCCAACAAAATTTACTTGGTCTTTGAGAAATTGCAAGGAGGTACTTTGCTATTAAGTATATGTGTAGACTTCTAATTAAGGCCTGAGGTAATGATCGTCCATCATGAAACTCAGAGACTTTTCAAACAAGCCAATAAAATAATAATAATAATAATAATAATAATAATAATAATAAAGTTCAGGGGAAAGCAGTTTTTTTCTCTTTTTTTTTTTAAAGATTTTTGCATATCTGGTGAGGGTGTGGCATTTCTGTTTGTAGACTATGCTGTCATTTGGATCTAAAATCAGAGGCAAAGGAGGAAAAATTCCTACAGAGAGGTCCCCTATCCCAGGTGGATTCACTTGTAGTTCTTTTTTATTCCAGAAGCCAAGTGGCATTTACATATTTTGGTCATTTAAATAGTTGTTCTCACTCTCTTCTGTACTCATCATAGACAGGTACAGAAGTTAGCAGTCAGAACGGATTCTCTTCAGTGCAGTTTTGTGTTAGTACCTCCTCTGTGCCAGGAACCACACTTGGTGCTAGACATTCAGCATTGAATAAGCCTATGTCCCCCACCCAAACCTATGGACACTAGGCCTTTGACAAGTTGTACTCAGTAAAGCCTGAAAAGGCATTTCCCTATGTTTCTCTGCTTCCCAGGTTCCATCCTGGCCCACATCCAGAAGCGGAAGCACTTCAATGAGCGAGAGGCCAGCCGCGTAGTACAGGATGTGGCTGCTGCCCTTGACTTCCTGCACACCAAAGGTAAGCCGAGCCTTTGCCATGGTGGTGGTTTGGACTAGCCAGTCTCTAGGGACCAACAGAGCAAGGCAGGCCAGGCAGAGGGGCTGGGCCAAGAGCTGGTGCAGCTGGCAGCCTACCCATGAGGGTGAGGGGGAAACCAGGTGCCTCCAGACTTCTGATGTGGGTGGTGGATAGATGAGGGCCTGTTCAGAATGATAAGGATTATGGAAGAAAGCAGGGAAGAGAACACTAAAATCATGTTGTATAGGTATATGTGGGTGTGTGGATGTGGATAATTTTCTTTCCCTTTTCAAATGAAGAATGCAAACCATGCATCATACCACCTCTCTAATAGAAATATGTGGGTGTTATTCCTTCTAGTCTTTTAAAATATACCACCTATATTGGCATGATAGTATATTTGTAATTTTATATCTTGTTCACAATAACTGGAAAATACTTTTTTCTATTAACATGGTAAGTTTGAGGTATCTGTTGAACCTCACAGTGGTGAAAGGCAGGGCTGCTAGTGTTTGAATTACACTTTGGTTTACAATCCTTATTTAGGATTAATTATCTAAGATTTTTTTTTAGTAAATTAAATGTTTTTGCAAATTGGGTGTTTTTCCATTTCCATAAATATATTTAATTATAACATACACTTTTTAATTTGCCAAACTACAGTGCCATAGAAATAATGAATTCTGGCTTTACCTTTTTACCAGCTAGAATAATGCCTACTCCACAGAATTATGGTGAGAATTAAAAGAGAATTGTATCACCAACAGTAGTTAACACTTAGATAGGACTTGTTATGTGCTGGGCACTATTTTAACCCTTTCATCTGTACTTACATAATTGAGTGTGTCCTATGTGTGTCTACATATACAATATGGAGAATAGTGCCTGGCACATAGTACATGGTTCTTCAATAATATTATTTCCTCCATCCTTATCCCCCACCAGGCAGAAAGCATTGTTATTCCTAATATTCCCTTAAAGCCGTGGTCGGCAAACTGCGGCTCGCAAGCCACATGTGGCTCTTTGGCCCCTTGAGTGTGACTCTTCCACAAAATACCACGGCCTGGGCAAGTCTGTTTTGAAGCAGTGGCATTAGAAGAAGTTTAAGTTTAAAAAATTTGGCTCTCAAAAGAATTTCAATTGTTATACTGCTGATATTTGGTTCTGTTGACTAATGAGTTTGCTGACCACTGCCTTAAAGCATTCTACCTGATGGGAATAATTTGTGACTTTGCTCTGCTCCCTTCACTTCTGTGGATGTGGGCCAGCTTGGCTGTGAGTGTGCAGGACCACTGTAGGCATCCTGCTCACGCACCCCACCTTGTGCCGGCAGCACAGTGCAGGCTGGTGCGGAGGTTCTGGTTCGTTGATTCTACCCCACTTCCTCCCGTGGCTGGGGGAGATCTGCACCCAGGCCACACCATGTTGGGGGCCTGACTTGTACACTGGATGAAAATTCCTAGAAGGGGGGGGGTCTGTGCTTTCCGCAGCATGATGAATGGCAGTGGCTCTGTTTCTGAAAGCTGGGATGCATGTAGGTAACACCTGCCTGACAGAGATTTACAACTACTCCCCAAGCAGCCTCCATAGATTGCAAAACTGGGTCATGCTTTTTACAAGATCCATACCTTAGAGGGGAGTAAAGGGGCTTTTATTATTTATTTATTTATTTATTTATTTTTTTTTTACAAAAATGCACTAAAGGGAACAGAGGCTGGTGGTGTCTGAGGAGTTCTGAAATGCTTGTTAGCATCTAGCTGGCCAGCTGCCCATGTGCCTAGAAGTTGGAGGGGATGAAAAACGATTTCCAGCTGAACTTGGCTGTTTTCTAAATAACTTCACACTGGGAAGATGAATTGAACAAGAATGGGTCAGCCCGGAAACAAGTTCCATGCTCTTAAATACTGGACATACTGCAGCTTAACCTCTGGGAAATGAGCCGGAGTAGCTGGATGGCTGGTACGCTCACAGAGGCAGACCTATTATTACACATGGCCCTCAGTTCTCAGGCTGGGGAATGCCGCGGCCATCAGCACCTATTTGGAGAGCAAGGCTCCATGCGTGGCTCATGATCCTTCTGTGGGAGCACTTGCTGTAATGGAAAATATCTTTCACTTTTAGTGAGGAGAGCTGCAGCCCGACTCAATTTGTGCAGCCTGGACTGGGTTGCTCTGGGTTCTCATTCAATTAGGTGACTGATGAAGTCATTGAGCCTGCTGGAGCTCGGGTCTTTCCTTTCGTGAAGAGCCTCCGGTGGGCTGGGCCTCTGTCACCTGCCAGGGAGTCTGAGAGATGGATAACCCAGGGAGTTTCAGTAAAGCGGACTCTGCTTCTTCCTGTTACCCTACAATCCTCTGCTGCTCTCCAGTCCTTCCAAGCAGTAGCTGTTTGGCATTGGCTCAGCCTTGCAGCCCTCCTGTCTCTGCCTCATACATTCTGCAGGAGGAAAGAGAGGGGGTAGCTTTCTGGGTCTACCACTAGAATTCCTTAGCCCTCCCTGTGAGATGGTTCTTTGTCCCTGTCTTTGGTTAGAAGGTGGTTTCCCCCTAGGTGCCTCCTTGGCCCAGTCAATAGACTTTAACCCCTCATGTGCTCAGCTACCATCTGCAGTCTCCTTTAGGAGGGCTGGCTGAAAAGCAGGGGGGAAGAGGCTTATCTGAAGAACACTCATGGGCCCAACCAGGCCTGCCATGCTCTGGCAGGACTGTCTTGGATATGTGGAGCAGGAGAGAAGGGAATTGGGCAAGCTTTGGGAGATTGTTCACTAACACTTGATCCTCTGAACATTAAGGAGGTCCCACTGAAGGGATCTTTTTTTTTAAATCGGCCACACAAGAAGAAATGAGGTAGAGCAGTTTCAGCCCCCGGAGATGCTCTTAAACAAGGCACTCATTATTTCTGCATTGCTGTTCCAAACATGGCTGTTTGCAGAGCTCTTTGCTCTGCTTCGTGTTGGGCTTCTTATTCCCGGTTGTCCCCACAGTGCTGAGAGGTAGGCTGGCTGGGATTGATTTAGCCCTTCTCATCCTGCCCGACTTCTAAAGCTTCTGCTTCAAACCGACTTGCAGACTCAACGGTGCTTTTGGTTTGTCTCTGGTTACTTCTGCCTCCTGCAGCTCGTTGACTTTTTAATGTACCATAATTGGGAATTAATCTGCGAACAGCAGCATTTGGAAAAAATTAATTGTGTGTGGAATGTTTGATAATTATGTGCATATGTTAACCATTTCCTTGCTCTTTGTCATTTTAGGCATTGCTCACCGAGATCTGAAGCCAGAAAATATATTGTGTGAATCTTCAGAAAAGGTACTTAGGATGTTACAGTGTTTACACTGATGTGGGGGAGCCACCTTGCTTTCAATTTTGATTAGCAGTTTCCAGGCTTATTCCTTGTCCATTCTTTGCTGTTTCAGCAATGTGATTGGCTTAATCCTGAGAGTTTGTAAAATATAGGAGACCTACCCAAAATGAATGTTTTCTAGTCCAATGCACATACCTTTAGAGCAGTTGATGGGAGTCATAAACAATAAGTTAATCTTACATGAAGCAAATCTCTGCCTATAAATGTTGTTCCTATCATGGTATATATGTCACTAGAGGTGATAATTAGGAAGCAGGTTCTTTTTTTAAAAAAAAAATATTTATTTATTTATATCTTACAGAGAGGAAGGGAGAGGGATAGAGAGAAACATCGATGAGAGAGAAACATTGATCAGCTGCCTCCTGCACACTACCCACTGGGGATGTGCCCGCAACCAAGGTACATGCCCTTGACCGGAATTGAACCTAGAACCCTTGAGTCCGCAGGCCGATGCTCTATCCACTGAGCCAAACCAGTCAGGGAAGGAAGCAGGTTCTTGAAAAGAGTTTCTGTTTCTTTTTTTTGTTGCCCATTAGAAAATAACATTTATACTTGTTATACATTGTTGTTGAACAAATGCCATCTATTTTAAACTTTCCGTCAACTCAATTTACTAGTAAATGGAAGTGTTTGCATTTCCATAAGCATGTATGAATTTGACAGATTCTGTGTTTGCTACAAAGGGATTAGGCCCTGATGGTTTTGATGGCCCACATTTATAGTTCTCTGTGTATGTATGTGTGTGTATGCATGAACACATGTGTCTTGGTCTGAATTAAGGGATAGCTCATACATGAGGAATGGCTATGAGTAAATACTTAGTACTTACAACTTTTGTGGGGAATAGTAATGTTTTAGCTCCAGTACGATCTTGTGTCTTCCTGTCAGTGACTCTGGCATTGATATAATTTATCATTATTATCATTATGATTATTAATAATTGTTATAGTTAACATTTGTGTGCTTACAGTGTGCCAGCACTGTGTGGATATGCTAAATATTTTTTTAACTATTTTATATTTATAAAATCTTATGAGATAGATTGAAAGGGGAGGGAGGGGAAAAATGAAGAGAGGGAGGAAAGAAGGAAAGGAGCAATTGGGACTTGTCCAGGCTCCCCCAGGAGGTAAATGTGTGATCTGAGACTCCCAGATCCAGCACATTTGATTCTGTGCTGCTTCCGCCACACAGACCATTTTCCTGTGTGCACACAAACCACCCTCCTGCGTGGCTCCAGAGATGACTCGTGCTTTGTGTGGTCTCAGGCCAGCCATCCTCTGGCCTGAAGGAGGACTTATAGTGCTTAAACTGACAAAGTCCCAAGCAAGCAAAGACAAGTTGGTCACCCTAAGCTGCCTGAGATGGTCAAGGGTTATTTTACTCATAATTCCTTTGCCCTCCACTGAATGGTCTGCAAGGAGTGTGTCAGGAATACATACTGACTTCTCTGACTTTTTGTTCGTCAGCAGGATTCCATAGGTTTGCTACTTGTCTTATACTCAATTCATAGTAGCCTGACCATGCTGTGCAGGCATTTTCTCTTAGTCAGGAAATAGGCAAAGGCATGGGGAAGAGGACACCATAGGATGGATCCTCAGGTGATGCCCAATTAACCTGAGGAGAGTAAACATGACTTGACAGGTAAAGCTGGACTGCAGGGTGGCAGCCACATAACTGTGCACCCACATAGTCACGTTGGTCTCGTCACGGCCATTGGTTTCTTGTATTTATAACCTTCACGCTGTTTTCCTTTTTAGGTGTCTCCAGTGAAAATCTGTGACTTTGACTTGGGCAGTGGGGTGAAATTGAATAACTCCTGCACCCCCATAACTACACCAGAGCTGACCACTCCGGTATGTATCACTGGGCACCCTGTGCCAACTCATTCTGAGCTTCTGTACATTTGGAGTGCCCCTGACCCAGAGCTCTGGAGTCCAGAACAGGGGGCTAAGGAAGGAAAGCGAGCATGTCTGTACCTCTTCCTGCTGCCTGCGTTGTCACCTCGCTCACTGCTTGTCCTGATGCCATCCTCCCTGTCCAGTGCTTAACTGCTAATGAAACTGACATTAGAGCTTTTAGCTTGGGGTGGGTCCTCTGCCAAAAAGGAGACAAATTACTTCTATAAGAATAGGCTGAGCCCTGGACCCCGGCCCAGATAAAGACAAACACACCCCCAGGCCAGCCTTTGGCGCTCTCAGTGAAAGCTCTGAGAGTTCCCTTCCCTCTGCCAAAGTCATGGCGCATCACCTAGCGATGGCGGATGGGGAGTGTGTCTTCTCTGTGGGAAGAGCTGAGGTCCTGGGCTCTCTGCATGCAGGCTCACACGGCTAAGTTGTTCTGTTGCTTCTCTCACTTCACACTTCATGCCCAGATGGTGCTGCTGGGAGCTACTTCTTCCCACAGCATCTCTGTACATACTCGATATTCTGTAATTATGATCCTTTGGAGATTTGCTTGCTTGTAAATGAATTTTCCTAATAATCTTTATTAAAGACATGCATTTGACTATGCCCATGTCTTATTCTGAGCAACATTATTAGAAATGTTTGTTTATTAGCTTTTACAACACTGAACTACTTTGTTCTCAAAGGCATTAACTCTAATTGCCAATAACAGAGAAAATGTCCTTTCTTCACTTACCATCTTTCCATCAAATTAGAGTGTGTGTTGGAGGTGTTTGGGGGGGGGAGGGGTGGTCTCCTGGTGAACTTGAAATAATGAAGAGGGGGTCAAAAAGCATTATTTATTTTTATCAGCAGTTTCTATGCAGGGATGTGAGGAAGGAATCCTGGTTCCAGGCTTTGCCACTGATGGTCTTAAACAAATTCCTGTCACATTGTAAGGCTTGGTTTTTTCCATCTGTAAATGGGAGAAGCAGGGAGACTGGATTTGTTCTAAGAGTTCTCCTAGCTATGATGGTCTCTTAATTCTAAATCCTTGTGCGTGTTTGCTCTAAGCTTGCAGGAAAGCTAGGCAGGACTTCGCTTGTAAGAAATCCTTGCTGCATGGAATCGATCTCCACAGATCTCCCCCAGAGCTGTGCCTCCGATACATTGAAGCACCTGCTCGTTAAGTGACTGGATACAGAGAGCTGAGGCAGTGAGCGATTCCTGGAGCTTCTTGGCCAGGGCTTACTGGAGAAGGACCAGAAAAGATAAGGTGACCTGGAACTGGTCACATGGATCACGGGGATGATAGGACTCAGTTTCCCAATGTTCAATTGGCCTAGCTTTTCTAAGTGCGTTGGTGGCATCAGGCGAGCTCTCTGGCTGGCTTTCCTCACAGCTTCTTGCTCTGCAGCTCCCTCCTTTTGCTCAAGTCCCATTACACTCTGCTCTTTGCCATCCCCTCTCCCTGTGACTAAGCTTCTCTCTTCTCTGTCACTTCCCTCTCTCCAACCCTGGCCCCCACAGTGTGGCTCTGCAGAGTACATGGCCCCGGAGGTGGTGGAGGTCTTCACGGACGAGGCCACGTTTTACGACAAGCGCTGTGACCTGTGGAGCCTGGGCGTGGTCCTCTACATCATGCTAAGTGGCTACCCCCCCTTTGTAGGTCACTGTGGGGCCGACTGTGGCTGGGACCGGGGAGAGGTCTGCAGGGTGTGCCAGGTGAGTACAGTCCCAGGACCCACTGCAGAGCGGGGCTGGGGACCCACAGGGTTGCAGGATGCCAAGCGAGACTGGGTTTGGGGATTGCTCCTGATCTGGAAAGGGGTACATAGAGCCCCTGCCCTCTTTTGTCCAAGGGCATCCACCAGGTGAAATAGAGAGGTTGCCAGGAGCCCATTCCTGGAGGGCCCTGTATGAAGGGCCAGGGGATCTAGGCTTTGTTCTATGGTTGATATTTCCCACACATCACCCACCAGCCTGCCAAGTAGCATAGCCATCTGCTTGCCAAGGGCATTCTGTGTCATTTGATGATTTAGGGGAGAGGATAGGGAGTCTGTGGCTTCAACTAAAGTCAGTTGGGCACAGAGTGACCAGGCCTGGCCTGTATCACCTCAAGAGGAATCTTCTTCACCTAGAACAAGCTGTTTGAGAGCATCCAGGAAGGCAAATATGAGTTTCCTGACAAGGACTGGGCACACATCTCCAGTGAGGCCAAGGACCTCATCTCCAAGCTCCTGGTTCGAGATGCAAAGCAGAGACTGAGCGCCGCCCAAGTTCTGCAGCACCCATGGGTGCAGGGGGTGAGTGACCCAGGGAGGGGCAGCGTGCCACCTCCTCAGGCTGCAGTGTGGCCATGAGGAAGCTCTCAAACTTCAGCTGGAGGGAGACTGTAGAGCAGTTTCAATTCCTGTGCACACAGCGTGAACTGATTCCTAACCCAGCCCCAGACTGAGTCCCACCCGTACTGGTCATACACTTGGTCACAAACTGAGGCCCACATTGGCCCATGCTTCCCTGGAACAAACAGAGGCCTCTGGGGAATTCGGCTGAGACATCCAGCCCAGGAAGCAGCGTGGTGTCATGGGTACCTACAGTGCCACCCCCTTGTACGAAGACCACTAGCTGAGAGTGCCCAAGAGCAAGGCCTTGCTGCCTGCTTGCTAGCTGAGAGCGCCCAGGAGCAAGGCCTTGCTGCCTGCTGGCTGCATGAGAGGCACATATGGTCCCTTTGAGGTCCTGGGGTCTGGGTGCATCTTTTCCAAAGGCAAATGGTGGCATTTTCACCAAACTATCCAAAGTCTCCACTAGAAATCATTTTTAACCATCCTTAGTTATTGATGGGGCCTGACATCTGTCCTCCTCCCAGGGGTCTGCCAGACCTCCTGGGAGTCATTATATCTCAGCCTCAGTGGCCCCGATAGCCCCATGTTACAGGTGGGACCCAATCCCAGTGTCTCTCAGTGGCGAATTCCTAGCCACTCAGGAGTTGCTGTGTTTACTGAGTACTCACCACATCAGACACTTGCAATAGTGGAATGAGTTAGACCCAGTCCCTGCCTTCATGTTCCAGTGGGGAGAAGGAAACAGAGGATTGAATGATAGGGCAGTGTGGCAGACACTTGGGGCACCAGTGGACAATGACCCACCTCTGCTTAGGACAGGCGGTGGCAGGGAAGGGGGAATGTCTCACAGGGGAAGGGGCTGTAAAGCTGAACCTTGGAAAATGGTGAGGATTTTGCCAGACAAAGAGGGCTCTCCATGCAGAGGCAACTGAGCTGCGGCTGTTCCCTGCTTGTTCTCTCCTTGGCAGGCCTGGCCAAGTCCCTGTACTGGGCCAGAGCCTTTGGTAACCTACCCACACTGTGCTGACATGGGTGGGGCAGCTTTTGAAGGAGGGAGCAGCACTTATCCACAATCTATCCTTCCCATTCTAGCAAGCTCCAGAAAGGGGACTCCCCACGCCGCAAGTCCTCCAGAGGTAAATGCTCCCACACACTCAACACTCTTCCTTCTTTGGCTTTGACTTCCTCATGCTCTCAGCCACATGGGATGGAGGTGGGGGTGGGGAGCCCATCGCTAGGCTCAGGCATCCACCTGAAGAGGCTCCTGGCTTGCCTTCTCCCTACTTCTCTTCCTTTCTTTACCCCAGCAGTAAATGTCTCACCCCTTCTCTTCCTCCACCCAGATGGCTCCCCCAGTCCTCCAGCATAGCTCCTCCCTGTGCTGTGCAGGAGAAAACCCTGTTTTGCATAAACAAACACTTGAACCCTAACTAGAAATCACCATTTGCAGCCCCTAAAACAGACCTTATCTGTGGGTTATTACAAGGTTTCCTTCTGCCACACGTGGTTTGGTGAAAGTAGCAGGAATCTGGACACTGTAAGGCAGTAGGATTGATTGTGATATAAATACTACTAGACAGTAATAATGGCCATGTATAATAAATACCACATGCCAGATGTGGTACAAAGAGAGGTATTCCTATTATCCCATCTTATAGTTTAGAAAACTAAGGCATAGAAAGATGAAATTAACTTATCCAAGGCCTTGGGAGTTCAACTTTGAACCCGGATCTGTTTGATGTTAGTGCCTTTTGACAGGTAATCACATTCTTGGTGAGCACTGCCCTGTTCCCAAAGGGCCAGGGATAAAGCATTGTGGGAATCCCTCCAGGAACCAACCTCGCGGCCAGTTTCTGGGAGTTTCACAGGGAAGTTTTACACTTTTATATTCTCAATTCCCTTGAGCTAGAATGTACTGCCCAGCTTGTCCTACCTGATTCTTTGAAGCTGTATCCAGATGCTCTGAGGCCCCAAACCTCAGATCCACTTCAGCAGTTTCATTCAGCACACTCCAAGTGCCTGTATGTGCCAGCCCTGAGCTGGCTGCTAGGGACAGACACAGAGGGCCAGGCCCTGCTCTTGGAGTTCCCTGCCCTGACGGGAGAAGGATACACGTGGGGGGGTTCCATGTGCCCAGCCCTCACTGGGAGAGCTCTGTGCACAGCTGTGGAGGACGGTGTGCGGAAAGATTGGGGCATTTGTCCCTCAAGTCCAAGGATGGTAATTGAGGCTTAAAGCTATTCCAGCCTCAGTGAAGTCAGATTCCAGACCATGTAAGAATGATTTTGCAGGAAGCAGTCTTACGCCGGCTCAGTAAAACCCGGTAGAAGTGTGGACTTCAGCAGTGGGCGGGGATGTCAGGGAGCTGGCCTGGCTGAGGCCACTGAGTCCTGCCTCCCTCGTTTCTCCGCTTTTCCTTCTGTCCCTGCAGAAATAGCAGCACAATGGACCTGACGCTCTTTGCGGCCGAGGCCATCGCCCTTAACCGCCAGCTGTCTCAGCATGAGGAGAATGAACTGGCAGAGGAGTCCAAGGCCCTGGCCGAAGGCATCTGCTCCGTGAGGCTTTCTCCACCCTCCAAGTCACGCCTGGCCCGGCGGAGAGCCCTGACCCAGGCAGGCCGAAGTACGGACCAGGGGCCATGCCCCACCCCCACATCTCTCAACTGACTCCAGTCACACCTTCAGACCTTAGGCCCGTCTAGGAGTTGCCTCCTGGAAACCTGTGAGGCCAAAGTCTGCAGAGTCCACTGAGGGACCTGCTGTGGGGCTGGAGCCGCTTTCTCCTCCACAGAGGCCCTGTGATTCCCACCCAACCCCCATCTTCCCCAGGGACCTCAAGGAAAAGGTTTTTTCCAAAGGGGTTGTCTTTGAAAAGGAAAGCAATCACTTGTCACTTTGCATAATCGCCTGAGGCAGGAACATCTCTTGCCGGGCTCCAGCCCACCTGCTCACCCGCCTGCAGATCCTGGATCAGCCTGCCAGCCTGCTCTCCAGAATGGGCAGCGTGGCAACTGGGGCTGCAGCCTTCAGGGAGGCAGTCTCAAGAAGCGTCAGTTGACAGAGGCCCTTCCCTCCCTGCGCAGTCACCCCCCACTCTGTCTGTCCTTCCACCTTCCTCTGTCCTCCGGATGTCCTCCCCCTGGGCTGAGCAAAGCCGTCCCCTCAATTCAAGGAAGGGCAGAGAGGCTCTGCATCGGAGCCAGATCAGTCTTCCAGTCTGTAGCACAGAGAAGCACATAATCTTTCTTTGCCGTGACCGAAATGTGTCCCTCATTTATCATCCTCTTCCTTGTTTGGGATTGCTGCTAAAGTCAGTATTATTTCGTTTTTAAAAAGTTTTTTTTTTTTTTTTAACCTTGCTCTTCCAGCAAAGATGGGAGTTAAAACTCCCACTTGCAAGCCCATGGACTAACTAGAGTACGCGGAGGCTCTTTTCCTGAATGCCCATGCGCGTGAAAGTTTTTAACCAGCTGTTTTCTATTATTTTAATTGGTTTTAAGTGACTTAGAGTCCAAGTCTGCTGCTGCCTCTCAGGCCTGATGTGGAAGGTAGCACAGGTCTGGGGCCTGAGGCAGCCCAGCTGCCCAGTCTGAGTGATGTGGTGCTTGCTGCCTGCCAGGGAGCGTGAAGGTAAACCTGGCATCAGATGAGTTGAGCTGCTAAGTTACCTAAAGAAAGTCGATATGCATATCTCAGGCAGACATTTATACTACACCATGATGCTGTTATATGTTGTGCTTGTTTGAATAAAACTTTTAAATTGAAGCTGTGGCCTTCCTGGTAATCCTTTCTTCGCCTGCAAACCTGAAGAGGAGAACGGACTGTATTGGATTCACAAAACAAGGTGAAGGAGACATGATTGCTTTTCCTTTTCAGGTAAGGAAATGAGGGTCATCAAACATTTGTCCATCTCCTAGTCTGTGCCACGACCTAGCAATGAGTAAGAAATAGCCTCTGCCTTTCAGGGTCTCCCCATCAAGGAAAAAGTGCTGTCGGCAGGCTGGCTTCAAAGCATGCTTTCACCGATGCACCCTCCACACAGCTCGGCCCACCACCCGGGTGGGAGCAAAGTTCCCCTCTGTCTAAAGCAGCCCTTCTTGAGGACCCATTGTGTGCTGAGTTGGCAACCAAGAAAAATGGCGCCTCCCATCCACAGCCTGTGTTCACGCAGAGGGCTCTTGTGTGTGTGTCCCCTGTAATCTCAGAGCCAGGCTGGAAAGGACTAAGGCAGGGCCTTTATAAGTCCCCAAGGAGGTGGCAGGAGGGAGAGCTGAGTGTCAGGGCAGTGGTCTGGCAGAGCAGAGCTGGAGCGGGGACTAGGGGCTCTTCACTCTGGGGGCGGTGATGGGCCCAACTTCAGCTGCCCTGTCCTGTGAGTGCCTCCGAGGGATGACAACACACTCTACTGGCAGTCTTCTCTCTGCAGGACCTTCACCACCCTCAAATCCCATCTCCATCTGCCTGGAGTGGGTTGGGCTAAGAAATCAGGCTGCACCATCTGAGCCTTTTAGCTCCAAGTCTCCCAACGCCTCAGGATTCAGGGTCAGGGTATGAGTTTTGTTTCTGGACTCCAGCCCCAACCTGGTCGGTCCTTCAGGTTGGCCCAGCAGGGAGGTGACTTCCAGGGGTTTCCTGGATCACACACTCCCTGCGCCCAGCCCCACCCTGCCCTGCACGCAGCTCCAGCTGGTCCCTCCTGCCGCTGTGCTTGTGCCCAAGCTGTACCCTCACCACCCACCTCCCACCCCAGACCACCTGCTGGCCCCCCATCCTCCACTCCTCTGTAAATGCCACTGTGCCTACTCTGGTTTGCTAACTTTAATGTGCAAGTTCTCTCGGAGAAGCTTGAGGCATTATCACATTTAATTCTTACAGTAGTCCTATTTGGAAAGGTACTATTATTTTACCCTACTTATCATGAAAAACCAAGCAAAAAAAGGGAAAATATCGCTTTCCCAGGGCTGTACAGCTAAGAAGGTGGAACTGGAATTCTTTCCAGAGAGACTTGGGACCCAGAGCTGGGCTGCAGGGTTTAATCCCAGCTCTGCCACTTACTAGCTTTAGATCTTGGGTAAGTTGTTTCATTTCTGAGGGTCTCAGTTTCTTTCACCGAAAATTGGGCAGGCTGTTGTGAGAGTTACAAATTAACAAACGTAGAGCATTTAGGCCATTTCTGGCACACACAGAAAATGCTAGTACTCAACAATTGTTAGCTATGATCGTTTTGGTTATTATTATTACCTCCAGTTGCAGAATTACTCAGCTGGGTCCCAGGGACAGAGATGAGCATCTCCCCCGTTCCTAGGCTGTGGGTGTTGCTGGGTCTGGGCTTTCCAGATGAGCCAGATAACCTGCCCTTTAGGGGATCCTCTGCTGACAGGCTGCTCTGCCCCTCTGAGGTGAGGTTCCTGTTCCCAAGGGGCAGTGGTAGGCGACAGGGCCCTGAATTCTAGTCCTTCCTCTGCCTCTGTTCACCAGGCAACTGTAGGATGGTTGCTAGGCAACCATAGGAAGGGCTTTACTCTTTCTGAGGACCAGGCCGTGTGCCTGGCTCTGCTGGCAGAGGCAGATGTGGCAGGCACACTGGGGGAGGCTTTGAGACCTAAAACTGTGGCAGCTGGTTCCCAGGCTCTAGGATTCACACTTAGGTTGGACCTTAGGAGAGAGCTGGTCCCAGACAGTGGCGTGTGCCAGACCTCAGGCCTCAGCATAAGGTTAGGCCAAGGCTCAGCATAGGCCCGATTTCCTAGCTCAACCCGCTCCTGTATGAGCTCCATCTGGGGCCCGAGCACAGGGACCAGGTGTTTCTCTCGCCAGGTCCCCACCTGCCTGAGCTTTAGGGCCCTCCTCCCTCCCTCTTGGCTGCCCCTCACCTAACTCAGCTCCAAGAATAGCAATGCCTGGGTCCTGTGCCAACTGTTTCAGCTACTTAGGTCTGGAAGGAATGGAGGAGCAAAGTTCCCTCATGGCTGACACTCTCGTTGCCATGGTAGCTGTTGCCTTGGAAGCTGCTTCCCAACTTCAGCTTCCAAACAGCCCGGAAAGCTGCCTGTCCCCCAGGGGAACAGTGAATTAATCATGCTCTTTTCCAGGATCCTTATCCCTCCAGGAAAATAAACAGAACTAAACGAAACCCGGGCATTTTTGCCCACTCTTCCCACCCCTACACCACCTTTGGTTCTGGAAGGGAAGTTCAAGGCAGGCTCCCTCCAGGGCTGGTCTCACCAGGAGACTGTGATGGAACTGAGTGGTGACCCATGGCCTCACCACACCGAGTGTGGGTCTGGAGGAACCGGGCTTCAGGAAAGAGGGCTCTGAAGCTTGTGGGATGGGGCGTGGTGAGTGGTCCGGCTCTAGTGCCTTGCACTTCCATGTTACTTACCTGTTGTAGTAAGCATATTGTCCAACGATAGATATGCATTTCAGAGATGATACAGCCTGTTTGGAGATGAGAACTGGCAAGCCTTCCTCTTTACATGTGTAATCAATGGAGGAGCAGGCATCAGAAAAGTCCCTTAATGACGCTCTCCTATGATGAGGGGAAAGGTGCAGGCTGGACTGATCTTTCAGCTTACAAACCCTAAAAAAGCTTACAGTGCCTCATTCTGCAGCCCTAATAGGGAAGCTGAGGAAAGGTATATGTTTTTTCTATGGGAAATGCTGACCCTTGAGAAATGGGATTTGAGTTGGGGACAGATACGTAACAAAACTCAATGAAAAACACCTAGAAGCTATCTTCAAAGCAGCCAGCATCTTTTGGTAGGTCTGGATCTCAGAGCATTACTAAAGGGAAAAATCCATTTGTTGGTCCACTTATTCATGCATTATTAGTTAATTCTTGCATGTGCCCTAACCAGGAGTCAAGCCCACAGTCTTGGTGTATCGAGATGATGCGCTCACCAACTGAGCTACTGGCCAGGGCTCTCTGTGATGTCGGAACTGATAATGGCTCAGTGTGTCTCTCCTCCATATTTCCTCCTCCGATCTGGGCCCTGAGGGATTTGCAATGTCAAAGAAAAACTCTAATTTGTTATTTGGTCTCCAGTGTTTAGAGGTCAGAATGTTCTGGAATCGGAAACTCATGACGCACAGGCATCCCTGTCTTCAGCCTCTGCCATCCCCCTTCCCATTCACAAGATGAGCAAAGCAGGACTTAGGCTGAGGCGAGGCTGGCCCACATCCCACAATTCCAGATGGGAGACCTGGCCTCAGAGCCCTTGTCTTGCTAATGGACCTGGCAGCTCCCCTCAGCCTTACAGCATGAGGAGAGCCAGCACAGGTCCTGCCCATCGGGGCTATGCAAACACATTATGGAGGCGAGGGCTCTGTTAAGGATGTTCAGATTCCCAACGCTCCCCATCTCAGGAACGTTTTCATGGACAATTATTTTGCGGCTCCTTCTGAAACTAGTCAGTGGGGGATCAATTACGTGTAACAGAAACATGGTCTGTCATTTGATGCCTAATTAGAGGAATAATCAGACCTCATCCTGGTGAGAGGCACAGGGGATACTGGCAGCAATGGCTGAGGTTGAGCAATGTCCACCTCCAGGGGCTTTTTCCCTGTGAGCCAGGATCACGGCCCAGGGAGCCCATGGGTGCTCTGCAGGCACCTCTCCTCTCTACACCAATTTGAGTTCATACCTGTCCCCGCCCAGGCCTCTCTCC